CTGTATGTATTATACTTGTTTATGTATTATACTAAAGATTACTTGATATTAGAATACATTTTTGCTGGCCTGATTCTTAGACCATCTCCCGGCAATCTTAATCCATTTCTTATAGCATATAACTTTTGCTGAAATACCTAAAACTCCACTAAATTAAACAAAAAAAAAGATTGTTGGATGTAAAATCTTACTCTAATCCTTATATCAGCTCCAGGATACTCCTTTTCTTCCAAAGCCTCCCATCGCTGATCAAACTTTGCCACCACAGGATCATCAAAATCTACAATCTGAAAGCCAGACACATTTGCACCTCCATATTGGATTTTAGAGAGGTCACCATCCACAAAACCCTGGAACAAGATCAACAAAATATACAATTACTGAAATTTACAAAAAGTTTATTTAATACTAATATGCAAACACTATTTTCTTCTCTGCTGAGATCTCATGGAGCCTTGATCATGCAGAGCAAATGATGTGCCTCCAGCTATTTTTCAGAGATTTATTTAGAGCAAAGGTGTTAAACATAAGGCCAGAATCAGCAGCATCTAAAAATACTGTTGAATGACACTGAGAATAGTCACAAAAGCAATCTAGTCCGCATGCCAATAGAGAAACGAGATATGGAATGAGTTATGACTAGTATCTACTCAGCAACTACTGCTCTATTATATAAATTGCAGTAGTGCAAGCAAAAGGTAGTCTTCTCACAGCATGTCTAAATGTGACTGCCTGCTTTAGGATCCCAGTTACTAAGTGTAAACCTGTTATTAGATCCTAATCTAAACTGAGTTATGTAAACCGCAGTTATTGTTAAACAGTCATAAATGGCCTGCAGTACATACATAAATATACTTGGTCAGCCTCATTTAAAGACTGGAAAATGACTCACCAAGTTTGCGATGATATAGTGATATCCTTTCACGTGCCTGCCTATAGTGATCACCTGGTGAATAAGAGGAAGAGGTTATGTCAGCAATAAACAACAATTTTAAATGGTTAACAGGTTAATTATCCTAACCCAGAAAGAAACACTAGATGCTTCAATTCACTGGAAAAAAAAATCATAATTTTTGGAGATACATGGTATGTAATTTTATTTATATAACACTTTTCTACTCTTACTAACCAGTCATAGAACATCACATTTTCCCTGTGCTTTCAAGGAGCACTTTATTGTAATACATCAAAGCACTTCATTATCCTCACATTCATGGTTAATTCAGAATCACTAAGTAACCTAACATGCGTGTCTTTGGGACTGTAATAGGAAATCAGAGTACCTGGAGGAAACCTATATAGGCACAGGAAAAACATGCAAACTCCATAGTAGGGTTGTCACAGTGTTAGAATTTCATGCTCCATGAGTAATTGCATATGAGAGCATGAGGGTGGGAATGGATGTTTGTATCTGTGTGTGCCTGTTTGTCTGTGTCCATATTTCAGGACGGGTATCAGACGCCACCTCTCTGAGGACATCCCAGGTCCTCCAAGGTATGGAGGCCTATCTCCCCC